TTATTGCATCAAAACCATCACACTACGGGCAATTAAAGAATTTAGAAAAGAGCATCTCGACTCCACACAAACCGTTCATCGCAATTTTGATATCGATCAAAGCTATTTCGTATATGTTTTTTTATCATTAATCTAAGCAATATTCAGTTTTGCCGTATCGTAGAAATTGTGTTCTTACAATTNCCTTATATCATAGATGCCCTTTACGTTAAGCAATGTAATCATTTAGTTTTCAATGTCTTGAATCCTTGATGACCAGGTCCATTTCTTGAACACAATGAGACGTAGTTACATTTAAAACGAACCCAAAAAATTTNAAAAAAAATCGAATGNATAAAGGATGCTATGTTTTCCTATACACAACTCACATAATGATCGAAGTTACAAGNATATATAGATAAATTAATATTTTTCCTCTCAACAAACCCAAAAGGCTCATAAACTTGCCGATGACGTGTCCCTCTGTGAGGGGCTCCTCCAAAAGCCTGCCCCATAGAAACGCTCCAACATCTCATTCTCAAGCATAACGACATCATTTAAGTCATCATTCGCTGCGCTATCTTCGAAAATAATTTGAGCCGTGGGATCTTCCTCGTTCAATCTATCGTGTGCGGTGCTCTGACTTCCTTCTGTTGCCGCTGATGCAAGCAAACCATGTCNCTTCCTCATAAAACGGCGTCGTTTGCTCCGCTTCCACGCTTTCTTGCAAACTGCTGTCGGGACCTTATAAACGGCCAAAACAACCAAATTCACCACCGTGCACGGGCAACAACACCATACCGCCGCACACTCTGCCGCCGCTCCTCCCGCGACCTCTCCTACCTTTCTCCTCTCACCGTGTTTGCTNAACGTCGTCGGAGAGTTTCTCATCATTGATTCTTCNGACGCCAACAACGGCNATTTCATTATAACGTGACGAGACATACCCAACAACAGAGAGAGATTACACCTAACAGAGGATCGCCACGAAAGAGAAATAACGACTCCGGGATCTTCAGATTAGTGAGATAACCGTCTCAAAGAAACTTGATTTCCCCAAGAAAATACAATCTAGTGAAAATTGACCCATCTTTGTTCAGGTCATTAATCATTTATTATGGTTATGTTGCATCAAATNATGACGATCCCAAGAGAAGAAAGTAAAAATAAAAAATTGGTGCACGTAGAAATAAGGGGGAAGAATAACAAAAATAGCTGTGTGATTTTCTCGGGATTAGCTGGAATTTTTGTTGANAAACGTCTGGTCAGCAAAAAAAAAATACCAATTCTTCATAACGAATATGGAAGTAAAAAGTCACCGAGAAGATCGGAGACGAGATGACCAAAAAATATTTTGGTTTTTCCTAAAAGAAGATTTCGTTTTCCCTTAATTAAAAACAAACAATAAACAATTAACAAGAAAAGAAATTGTTCCTTCAGTGTTATTTGTGAGATAGAGAAAGNGATTTGTTCGTTTGGTCCCACATGGACGTGAGTGATTTTTCGTAGAAAGTCGTTTTTGGAGTTCAGTTTTGTTTATTTGTTCAATTAATCTTTCAGATAAATCAAACATTTAATTATATACTTTTAAACCAAATAATTTGCTTTTTATTTTATCTTTGTCAATCAACTATAAATTTAAAATAAGTTGTAAACTATATTGTCGAGTTGGGTTGTTTC